CCCGCGGGGAGGGCGCCGGACTCCCGGGTCCCCGGGGAGAAGGGCTCCGGCTGGAAACGCCGCAGGAGGGCGGGTCCGACCCCCGGGTGGGCCCAGCCCGGCCGCGGGTGGGATCCCGGTTGGAAGAGCCTCCACGGAGGAGACTCCTGTCTCGCATTTTTATCGTGACAGCGCTGAGGACAGACCAGGGGAAACGGGGCGAGGTGGGACAGGAACGCGCTCGAACCTAGTCCACGAGCAACTAAACGAGACGCATGACTCTGGGCACCTCGATGTCTTCCTGTTTTAAATAGGTTAAGGCGCCGGATTTCTACATTATTGACCAAGGTTCGAGTCCCGGACCCGGCGGCTTGAAAATCAGAACAAATACATCTTTTTTTATTTTTAAAGGCAGGGTAGAGAGGAACAGGCACGCTGCTCACACGAGTTGCTCAGAATCTCAACCCGGCTCCAGCCTAAATCCCCGTCTTACCCATCTCCATCCGGGTTCTCCCGTACAGTGTGTAGCAGAGGCTGTCTCTGTCGCTGTTAAGGGTAGGCAAACCGGCCGTTCAGGTGCATGTACCATGAAGCTAATGAAGCTTAAGCTTCAGGTGCTCCTGGCCGGCTCGCGCCCATCCCTGCGTGCGGAGTGTGATCACTCAGCGTGTTTCAGATCAGTCACTGCTCAAAAAAGCTTGCAGTGGCCTGGCTGTGTGCTGCTAAGACACTGCACCAGTCTGGGGTCACGGAAGGCCGGGATTGGAGTCTCTGTCCCACCTGGTCGCAGTGCCGCATCCAGGCAGAAGGACTGTAAATTGCAGGCTAACCCTGGCGACAGCGTCAGACCCTGTCCAAGACATAAAAAGATTTAAAAAGTTGGGTGTGGGAACCAGCAGATGGTATCGCGGTTACGTCACTGGACTCCCACGTGGCCAACTGCTGTTGGAGCCCCAGACCCGGTGACTGGAAACACACCAGGCGTGCTCAAAATCCCAGAAGGAGAATGGAGGAGAAGAGATTGCAGCATGGCCATCCCTCCTGGGGTGATTTCTCACTTTCCCTCTCATGTCTCTCCCTCCCTCCCTCCCTCCCTCCCTCCCTCCAGTGAGTGCACATGCCCTAAGGCAAAAACCTCTTTAAAAAAACGTCCCAGCTGGGGGAACCAGCAGTTGGCTGAATGGCTATGTCGCTGGACTCCCATGTAGTCGACCACAGTTCATGTCCCCCACCCGGTGGCTTAAAACTCACGCCGGGCGAGTATGCGTGCCCAAGATCCAGAGAGGAGAATGGAGGAGAAGGGATTGCGGCGTGACCATCCCCCCTGGGGGGTGATTTCTCACTTTCTGTCTCTATGTCTCTCTCTGTCTCTCTGGCGAGCGCATGCACCCTATAGTGAAAACCTCTCCAAAAAACAAAAGTCCCAGCTGGGAAGCTGAGGTGGGGGAACCCAACAGCAAAACTCAGTCAACAACAGCTACGGCGCACAAATGTCCTGTACCCTTACATTCATTCCCAAAAGCAATTTGAGAAGAGGCCGCTCACAAGGCTGTGGGGCCAGCAGGGGGCGCGGCAGTGAAGGGCCTTGAACTCCCACATGGCTGACCATGGTGTGAGTCCTGGACCTGGTGACTTGCTTTCTCACTTTCTCTCTCGCTCTCGCTCTCACTCTGTCCCTCTCTGGTCAAATCATATACGTAAACAAAGTTAAATAGTTCTTAAAAAATTACAACAGTTGTAAATCCGAAAATAAAACTTCACTGAAGTATTGTGATGGCTCAGGTAATGGCTCGTCCCTCAGAGCTTCGTGTTTTGGGATGTGGCCCAGTGGCCGACTTCGGGAGGCAGGCCTGTGCACGGTGATTGGGTCTTGGGGCCGCACTCTCCCAAGACATTCTGGCTAAGAAGGGGTTAGTTCCCACGAGAGAAAGATGGTGCCCCCAGGAGTCTCTCTCTGCAGATGCCCACCATCCTCTCTGCCCTGGGCAGCCACCTTGGGACACAAAACCAGAGGCTGGCCCAATGCCGGTCCTCACACCTCTGGACTTGCCAGCCACCAGACTCAAAAGCCAAATAACCCCTATTCTCCTTGAACCACAGTCTCAGGCGTTTTTGTTAGCAACACAATAGCAGACACAAAGACAGCAACCAATCATGAAAACTTCGATCAACCATATTAAGAGAAAGGCTGAATTATCTTCCTATTCTCTAGAGAGAGTAGTCTTATAAAATTGCTGTATGAAGCACATATCAGAGGCCTGCAGGTGGTGTGGTGATTAAAGTCCTGGACTCTAAACTTGGCTGACCACAGTTTGCATCCTGGACCTGAAAGCTTGCTTTCTTACTCTCCCTCTCTCTCTGATCATATTAAGAAATAATAATAATAAATAAAATAAATCATTCCTTTTTATTTATTTATTTTTGGAGAGGTTTTCGCTATAGGGCGCATGTGCTCGCTAGAAAGACAGAGAGACAGAGAAACAGAAAGTGAGAAATCACCCCCCAGGGGATGGCTACACTGCAATCCCTTCTCCTCTTGGAATCTTGGGCATGCACACACACACACACCTGGCATAAGTTTAAGTTACCAGGTCCGGGACTCGAACCAAGGTCGGCTACTTGGGAGTACAATGACATAGCTATTACACCAACTGCTGGTCCCAATCATTCATTTTTTAAAAAAGAGCATATCAGAGAATGTAAGAGAAAAGTATTGTAAAGCCATGGTAGGCAGTAAATTAATAAAAGTATTTTGTGTTAGGACCAGCCGTTGGCGTAATGGCTATGTCTCTGGACTCCCATTAGTCAACTGTGGTTCGAGTCCCAGACCTGGTGGCTTATTAAACTCACCAGATGTGTGTGCGTGCGTGCCCAAGATCTCGAGAGGAGAATGGAGGAGAAGGGATTGCGGCGTGGCCATCCCCCTGGGGGGTGATCTCTCGCTCTCTGTCTCTCTGTCTCTCTCTGTCTGTCTGGGAGCACACAGGCCCTATAGCACAAACCTCTCCAACAAAGTAAAAATATTTTGTGCATTTGCACGTGGTAATTATCATCTTTTGAAGCCTTCATGGGTTGGGATTTGTTTTTTCATAATAAATGCCCATGTGTGCACCTTACTTGGTATTTCTCACTGCACTACCTGGATTCAGCACATTTTCGTTATTATTGTTAACATTACTGTGATTTGCAGACCCAAAACAAAGTTGGAGGGTAAACTGCTCTGAGGCTGAGGACGTCCACAGTGACTGCCAGCAGCCGCTCACCCATGCGCGCTCCCGTTGCGCCCAGTGGGCGCAGGTGCTGGGACTCGCTGCTCGCTCCTGTTTGCTGATCGCTGAAACGCCCCGTCTGGAGCTGCTGCGGAAGGCCAAGGACCGTGTGGACGTGATCTCGTCCTTAAGGGAGCTTACAGGCTGATGAGACGTATCCATGGAATCCACTTGAGGTTTTGAAAAATCAGATTTTTAAGTTGTCTACAGGCTTCCCCCACAGTGACATCTTGTTATGCAAAATTCGAAGCAGAGAAAAGCCAGAAGACTGGCCTACTGAATACCCGTGTACCCGCAGGCTGGATCGCTGGTTTGTCGTTCTCAACGCCATTGCAGTTGGGTCCCCAGTGGGCGGGCTCAGCTGGTTCCTCTTAGGAACGGCTTTATTGCGATATAATTCGCATGCCACATCATTCAGCCATTTAAACTGTACAACTCAATGACTTCATATGTTCATGGGTATGCACCGATGTCACAGTGAGCCTTCTGGCCACCTCGGGATGAGACACTGCACCATTTAGCATCTATCCCCCCGTCCTTAACCCTGCGCCACCCAATGGACCCACCAAGCTGCTTCCTGTCTCTGGAGTTCCCTGTTCTGATATCTGCTATGAATGGAATATAATCACATGTGGTCTTTTTGTTTTTCTTTAAGAGAGATTTTTGCTATGGAGCACATGGGCTCACCAGAGAGACAAAGCGAGAAATCACCCCTCGCAGGGGGATGGCCACGCTGCAGTCTCTTCTCCTCCAGGCTCCTCCCAGGACTTCGGGTGTGGCTGGCATGAGTTTCAAGCTGCCAGGTCCAGGACTTGAACCACAGTCGGCCCTGTGGGAGTCCAGCAACGTCACCATTCCGTCATCTGCTGGTCCCAGTGGCCTCCTGCGCCTGGCTGCTTTCACTTCGCACAGCTTTCCAACGCTCGCCCGTGCTGCGGCATGCGCTGGTGAACCATTCCTCCCACGGCCAGACAGCGTGCCCTCGTGTGGACAGGCCGCGTGTGTTCACCCGTTTGTCGGTCAGCGGGCTATTTGGGCTGTCTCTGCCCTGCAGCTGTTATGCACACGCTGCTATGCACACTTGTGTACAGGTTGGTGCTGGCGTGGATTTCTGTCCCTCCTGGGTACATAACTAGGAGTGGACTTGCTAGGTCATCTGGTAACGCTGTCCATTTTTTCACTTTTATTTTATTTTTAAAGAATTATTAATTAAATTAATTAATTAATTAATTTTTAATTTGCTACAAGGTACACACACTCACCAGAGAGAGAAAGTGAGAAAGCAAGACACCAGGTCTAGGATTCAAACCACAGCCAGCACGTAGGAGTCCGGCACCTCAACCATGACGCCACCTGCTGCCCTAGCCAATTCTTAAAAAGCAGAGGATCCAGGCCCAATGAAAAGAGGGGATATGCTTGAGGTTTTACAGCAATATAGAGAGAAATGAGCCACGCTAGGGGCGGGTGGCATGGTGGTTAAGGACTCCCACGTGGCTGACCGGGGTTTGTGGGAGGCTGTGCACCAGCGAGTCTGCTGAGGTTTCTCAGAGAGCAAACAATTGCCATGATTGGTTCCCTTCCAAAAACCTGACCTTGGAAACCTTGCTCTGATTGGCCACTAGAATCCCTCAAATTTGCATATTCCCGGACCCCTCAGGATGGGCCCAAAAGCAACCAATCATAACCCACCTTAACAACCAATCAGGGCCCACCATTTACAACCAATCATGACCCACCATTTACAACCCACCAGAGTGTATATAACCACGATGCCTGGCCCACAGTAGCCAGATGACAACGACGACAAAGAAGACCACAACTGAAGAGCCTGAAGAGTTGAAACACCGCGCAGTCTCTAGACGACCCTGAAGATCCTGAAGAGCTGACACTGCATTGTCTCCAGACGACCTGGGAGACCCTGAAGAGCTGTAACACTACATCGTCTCCGGATGACCCTGAAGAGCTGTGATACCACGTTGACTACTGTGAGCAGTGGACGCTACCCTGAAGAGTTGTGACACCGCATTGTCTCTGTGCTGTACCGAGCTGCCCACAATAAACGGACGACACTGTCGTCTCCGTGCTGTAACACTACGCCGCTTGTCCCGGCTCTCACTCCTTCAATCAGGAAATCTGTTCGGCTGTCTCCCCCCCCCACCCCCCACCACCCCGGTGTCAGGACAGGGGTTCAAGTCCTCGACTTGGCAGCTTGCTTGCTCTCTCTCTCTCTCTCTCTCTCTCTCGCTCTCGCTCTCATTCTCACTCTGTCTCTGTGGTAAAATTTAAATAAATAAATAAATAAATAGATGTTAAACAATCTTTTTTTGTAATTGAGATATATTGGTTGTGTCATGGATCAGTACAGACATTTAATTTGTACCCAATTCTTAACATACATACCAAAAATTTTTTTTTTTGAGAGGTTTTTGCTATAGGGTGTGTGCACTCGCCAGACAGACAGAGACAGAGAGACAGAAAGCAAGAAATCACCCCCCAGGGGGGATGGTCACGCCAAAATCCCTTCTCCTTTCTTCTCTTGGGATCTTGGGCACACAAGCACACGCGTCCGGCATGAGTTTAAGCCACCGGGTCCGGGACTCAAACCATGGTCAACTACATGGGAGTCCAGCAACATAGCCATTACGCTAACTGCTGGTCCCTGTACCAAAAATTTTAAAAGCCAAGTATAGCGATTGTTTTTAAGTTATTCCCGGGACATTCCAACTTCAACTTTTAAAAAAATAATTATTTTATTTTTTATTTATTCATTCATTCATTTTTAATTTTACTAGAGAGAGACAGGTTGAGAGTGAGAGAGAGAGGAAGCGAGAAAGCAAGCCACCAGATTCAGGACTGGAACCCTGGTCGGCCATGTGGAAGTGTCCTGTGCCTTAACCACCACGCCACTTCCTGGTCCCCACCAGTTTCAAATGTGTAGGCAAATTTTCCTTAAGAGGATATCAAGAACCACTGTCTTCAGATGTTGAAAACTGTTATGTAAGTCCCACCAAGTCACAATTTAGTATCATACACACTACATACTCAAATCTCCAATCTTTCACAGCACATGAACAGAATCATTAGGAAAACTGCACTACCACGACCAGAGATGTTACAGAGTGCACACAATCCTGACAGGGAGCGCGTCAAAGAGTGGTTTTCTTTAGGAAACAATACGACTAAAAGCATAATAGAAGTCATTTAAAATATTCAAGACACATTAAATGCATGACTGTGACTCCAAACTGCCATTTCGTGTGCTTTGTATTTAGGATATAAAAACTACCCACCCGCGCCCACCTATGGAATAAGCTGACAGGCAAGAGAGTCAAAGCCTCCTATACGTCAATATCCCACTATTTTCTGGTTGTGCTGAAAAATAAACCACCAGTACATGATTTCACCTCTTAAAAAAAGCATTTACACTTTAAAAATGGGATGAGGCGGGATTCTCTCCTTCTTAAAAATGTTTCTAGAGCTACTAAAAAACTTGCATTTACAAAGTAGTTGATAAAAAATGTTCCTCTGGGTGTTCAAGGGAGACAGGGACCACTGACGAGACATGGGCTATGACGGTCCTCGGCCTGGGCTTCTCTCTCGCCTGCTTCCTCAGAGGCGGGATCTCCTCGCTTGTAGTTTCTCCGTTTTCTGCAGGTAAATCTCCTTTCGTGTCCTGGTCGGCCCCTTCAGCTCGTCTCCCCTTTGCTCCCCTTTGCCCTTTTTTTTTTCTTTGAGAGGTTTTTGCTATAGGGCGCGCGCACCCAGCCACCCATTCACCAAACATCCTAGAGGCCCCGCAGGGACACAGCGTGCAGCCGCCCCAGCTCCCTGAGTAAGTACCGGCGGGAGAGGGCGGGCTCGGTGTGCTGCTGTGCGTGACCTCATTCAAGAAGGAGACTCCGTGAGAAACCATTGCACGTGGAGCAGACGGACACAATTTTCCAGTCGGACTCTCAGGCACGGAGGCGGACGTCCAGCAGCGGCGACCCCACTCACCGCTGGCGGGTGTGACCGGGTCGTGGCCGCTACAACTTACTAGCACCACTCCTCCCGCCCTGTCCAGGGCGCTTTACCTCTGAGGGCTTCTTGTTTTTTGGAGAGGTTTTCGTTATAGGGCGCGTGCACTCGCCAGACAGACAGAGAGAGACAGAGAGACAGAAAGCGAGAAATCACCCCCCAGGGGGGATGGCCACGCCACTATCCCTTCTCCTCCATTCTCCTCTTGGGATCTTGGGCACACATGCGCCCGGGGTGAGTTTAAGCCACCGGGTCCAGGACTTTAACCATGTCAACTACATGGGAGTCCAGCGACATAGCCATTATGCTAACTGCTGGTCCCGATTTTAACTTTTTTTTTTTTTAAGAATTATTTATTTAATTTTATTCATTCATTTTATTATTTTTTAATTTGACCAGAAAGACACACAGAGAGAGAGAGTGAGAGAGGGAAAGTGAGAAAGCAAGCCACCAGATCCGAGACTCGAACTTTGGTCGGCCATATGGGAATCCAGCGCCCTTATCCACCACGCCACTTGCCGGCCCCTGATTTTAATTTATTTTAAAGTTAAAAGAAAAGAGAGAATATAATCCAGCCTAGCCTTTGTTTATTTTTATACCAATGTAGTTTAAAATAAAACTTTTCATGTCTTTTTATGGATGAAAGGACCCACAGGGTACAAGTGCCCAGGCCTAGGAAAGTCTAAGTACAGGCCCTCCAGGTGGCCTGGTGGTTAAGGCAGCTGATTCCCATGTGGCTAACTGTGCAGTTCAAGTCCCAGACCAAGAGGGTTGAAAAGTAAAATCTCGGGACCAGCAGTTAGCGTAATGGCTATGTGGCTGGACTCCCAAATAGTCAGCTGCGGTTGGCGTCCTGGACCCGATGGCTTAAACTCACGCCGGGCGCGTGTGCGTGCGTGCCCAAGATCCCAAGAGGAGAATGGAGGAGAAGGGATTGCGGCGTGGCCATCTCCCCTCGGGGGTGATTTCTCGCTTTCTGTCTCTCTGTCTCTCTCTGGTGAGCGCACGCGCCCTATAGCAAAAACCTCTCTAAAAAAAAAAATAAAGAAAAGTAAAATCTCGTGACGAAAATGGAAGAGAGGGGATTGCAGCATGGGTGTCCCCCCAGGGGTGGCTCTCCCCCCCACCCCATGAGCACACAGGCCCTACAGGAGAAATAGGAGACCAGATGAAGGTGATGTGGCACAACCATCAGCATTAGCAGGGCGACCAAAGTGCATGTGTCCCGCATGTACAGATATGATGACAATATTGGGGTGGGGGAAGTTAGGGAAGGTGACCAAATCTACAATTTGTGATCAATTTTTTTTTTGAGAGGTTTTTGCTATAGGGAGTGCGCTCGCCAGACAGACGGAGAGAGACAGAGAGACAGAAAACAAAAAATCACTCCCCAGGGGGGATGACCATGCCACAATCCCTTCTCCTCCATTCTCCTCTTGGGATCTTGGGCACGCACGCACACGCACCCAGTGTGAGTTTTAAGCCACCGGGTCCGAGATGCGAACCGCGGTTGACTACGTGGGAGTCCAGTAACATAGCCATTACGCTAACTGCCGGTCCCTGTGATCAAATTTTAGAACACATGTAACAATATCATAGAATTTCACATACGGGGCTGGCTGTGTTCTGTGGCATGGTGGTTAAGGCAGCCAGATCCCACATGGCTGACTTCCAGGTTCGAGCCCAAGTCCTGGCAGCTTGAGAAATGCACCAGGTGCATGTGCACGTGTGCCCAGAACCCTGAAAGGAGGAGGAGGTGGAGAGCGGCAGTGTGGCATTTCCCGTGTGGCGCTGGGGGTGCTTTCAGCTCCTCGCTCTCTGGCAAGCCCACATGCCCTCTAGCAACGAAAACCAAAAGTTTGGGGCCAGCAGGTGGCACAGTGTCCAAGGTGTGGACTCCCATATGCCTGACCACGGTTTCAGTTCCAGTCTTGACGGCTAGCTTTCTCACCCTCTCTCTGTCTCTCCCTGGTAAAATTTTAATTAATCAATTAAATAATCCCAAATGTATAGCAAAATAAAAAAGATGCACACTGGAGCCAACGGATGGCATCACAGTTACATCATCGCTGGACTTCCACATGGCCAACTGTGGTTCGAGTCCTGGACCCAATGGTTTAAAAATCACACTGGGCACGTGTGTGTATTTTTGTTTTTTACTTGTTATTATTATTTTAACAATTTGGTTAGAGAGAAAGGGGACGAGAAAACAAACCACCAAGTCCAGACCATGGTCGGCCATGCAGGGGTTCAGTACCTTAGCCACCATGCCACCTGCAGCCCTGTAAGGGTGTGTCTTGTGTGCGTGTGAGTGCCAGTGCCACTCCTATTGTCCTGCTCACCTTTGTATACAGAAATCGTTCACAGGAAAACAAACATAAATAAAAGCCTGGGCAGGGAGAGTAGGTGACACTGAGAACGTTGGCTCAAAGACGGCAGCTTTGCAGGGCGCTTTTTTTTTAAGGGATTTTTGCTATAGGGTATGTGCACTCGCCAGAGAGACAGAGACAACGCGGGAAATCACCCTGGGGGTATGGCCATGCTGCATTCTCCTCCTCTCGGGATCTAGGGCACGCAGGCACACGTGCCCGGCCTGCGTTTTAAGCTGTGAGGTCTGGGACTAGAACTCTAGCCCACTACGTGGGAGCCCAGGGGCGTAGCCATTATGCCATCTGCTGGTGTCAGAGAGCGCCATCTGCTGGTAACAGAGCGCTCTTACATGCTGCCGGATCGGGGTGCCGTGTCCTGGGTTTGCTCCCGGCAGGCGGAAGGCGGTGATGACTCAGTGGCCCTCACACGCTGAGGGGCAGTCACAGCATGTTGACGCCAAAGGAAACGACA